GGGGTTAAAAAAAAAAAAAGACAAAAAACAACAACAAAAAACCCAAAAAGGCGAAGCAGCTCAATCTGAAGTATCACAGGCCTCCCACTCCCTTTCTCTATTCCCTGCACCTGCTGGAATTTTCCCACAATGCGTATTGCTTTTAATAATCCATCTACTCATTTTGTTTCCTTCCACTAGATTATAAACTCCCCAGGGGCCGAAGTTTTTGTCTTGTTCATGCTGTGTCTCCAGCCCTTAGGATGGCATCTGGCACACAGTAGGTGCTCAACAATATTTGTAAAATAAATTAAGGGCATAGATAATGGCTCTCATTTTGCAGATGAGAAAACTGAGGCTCAGAGAGGAGCAGTGAGTTGAACAGGTCACAGGCAGGACTCAGAAAAGTTAGAATATGCCAGAGCCTGCCCCTCCACACAGGTACTAAGGTCCTGCTCCTGAGCAGTGAGAAGCCCCCACCCCTACCAGGTAGCAAACCACATGCCACCCCTGAGGTCACCAGCATTCCTCAGTGGCTTCCACCAGCTTCTGGGTCTGTCCCCATCCGTCCTGGGTATAAAGGAGGAATGTGAGGCCTAAGAGCAGGAGTGAGAGGACGGGGCAGGTGTGGGGACCAGGACCACTGGAGACAGGGAGCCTGGGAACCAGGGCTGGGAAAGCGAGCTCTCCCTGAGTGCCCCTCAGCTCCCCCGGCCCTGCCCAGCTGTCTCTCTGCCTGGCAGCGGCAAACCCGTCCATCCCTCTCTCTCAGCCTCTAGATATAACTCCATGCAGGAGCCCTGGTGAACCAGCAGTCCGTCAGGAGCCCAGGAAGTGCAAACTTAGGCTCTTGGAGGGCTGGCCCTGGTTGCAGGGAAGAAGGCTCGGGCTGGGAAATAGGTTTCCTTTAGGGCTCCAGAAACTCGTCCTGGACCCATCATTCAGCAGTCAGGTTGGCAATGCGGCCTCAGGCAAGTCCTTGAGCTTCTCTGCCTGTGTTCCCATGTGTCTAAGGTCCCCTCCCTACTCATCAGAGCTGCATGGGTGGGGGAGGAGACATCTCTCAGTCTCACGGGACCTCAGGGTTTTCTCAACTTCAAGAAGATGATCAAGAAGCCATCCATCTCTCCCCCAACTTCAGAAAGTCCTGGTATTGGCAGCAAGGTCATGTTCAGACTGAGTCCTGCCACTCTGCCTGTTCCCTCTGCTGTGGGCTTCTGTGAGGACATTCATCCACCTCATGGAGTTCCCCTCAGCCTGTACCGGCACATTGCACCCTGAATCTCTTGTCCACACTGTTGCTTTTTAACCAGTTGATCACAGCTCTGGAGCTCGTGCTTTTCATTTTCACCTAGGCCAGTGGCTGCCTGCTAGAGGGCATTTTGGGGATGTGTGGTGGTGTGTGGTCAACTCAGGGCTGGGGTGGGACTGCCAGCATTAGGAGTGGGGTGTGTTTATGTGGAGGGGGATGCCAGTGCCCAGCACTGCCCAAGGCAGTGAAGATTCATTCTTCCTGGGAGGGTAAAACCTGCTTATAAAAGTTCTCTGGCTGGGTGTGGTGACTCACGCCTGTAATTCCAACACTTTGAGAGGCCAAGGCAGGAGGATCGCTTGAGTCCAGGAGTTCAAGACCAGCCTGAGCAACAGAGTGAACACCACTCCCATCTCCACAAAAAATGATTTTAAAAAATCAGTCGAGCGTGGTGGCGTCTGCCTATAGTCCCAGCTACTGAGGTGGGGGGACTGCTTGAGCCCAGGAGGTAGAGGCTGCAGTGATCGCACCACTGCACCCCAGCCCAGGTGACAGAGCAAGACCTTGTCCCAACAAAAAGTAAAAGAAAAAAAAAATTCTCTGAGTCATGAACCTAATTCAGTTTTACATAAAACAAGGGATTTTTTTTTGGTACTTTTAATATCTACTGAATTTTCCAGAAGGAAAGACAGGTTTTTTTTTTTCGAAATTTTGTTGACAGCTTTGCCAAGGATTGTTGACAACTTCAGAAAGTCCTGGTATTGGCAGCAAGGTCATGTTCAGACTGAGTCCTGCCACTCTGCCTGTTCCCTCTGCTGTGGGCTTCTGTGAGGACATTCATCCACCTCATGGAGTCCTCTGGCCCGGACATTTACATATTCAAAACAGTGTTTTATTATAAATTACTTTCCCTTTTTTCCTCCATCATAGCTATGGAGTAACATAGTTTGCAACTGCCTGTAAATACGTAGGTTACATTATTTACAAATTTCAATGTAAGGTTCAATACAAAATACTATTGTAAGAAAGCCTCCTTGTGTCTGGTGGGGCAGGGACCTCGGCCCTAATCACTGCAGGAGACAGCAATGACCTGGATTTCTTCCCTTCCTTTTCTTGGTTCACACCTTCAGCCCTGTCGTGAGCGCTCTGGGGTATTACTGGGTGGATGTCTTTCATGGAAAGCCATCTTCCTGGAATTCAGACAGAATATAGGACTAAAAATTGAGGAAACAAGCAGAGGTTTCCATCAGATTTCTCAGTTCTGGCAGAAGTCAGAGAGCCAGGCAAGGATTCTGGGTCCCAACCTCTGATCTTAACTCCCAAAGTGTCCCGACTCCTAGAGTGGCCCAGATTGTCACTGTCAACCAGGGACTGTTCTCTCAGGCGGGAATTTCCCAGTCGGCAGGATGGGCACCGCAGATGTGTGTCTGCATGCCAGCGGACCCGGCACCCCCTTTCCTCCCTGCCAACCGCCTCCACCTCTCCCACTCAGCAGTTCATACCTTCTGGGTTTCCCCCACCCCCGCCCAAACCGCATGGTAATCAGAGAATCAGTGGCTGTCACCGCTCAAAGGGACCTCAAAGTCCTCCTCCAGTCCCAAGCATTTGAAGTAACAAAATCTCTAACATGTATCCAGCTCTTAGTATATGCCAGCTGATACGCTTGTATCAATTTCCCTAGCCTTCCCCAAATCTCATGAGGTAGGTCCGATTATCATCCCTACCTCACAGATGTGGAAACTGAGGCACAAAGAGGTTAAGCCATTTGCCCAATGTTATCCACAAGTCATTAGCAGACCCGGGACTCAAAGGCAGGGCGGCTAATACTAGAATGGAGGCTCATAAAGACCTCAAGCCTTTGAAGACTGAACGCCTTAGCCAGAGTTCCTCAGACATCGGAACTCCTCCTCAGAGCACTTCCTGCCTCCCAGGACCACTAAGACTGATTACGGACCACTGAGAGAAGATGGGTGAGAGAATGGTTTACAAACTCAGCCTCTGGCATCTCCCAGAGCCACAACCCCAGCCTTGGCCATGCCTGCTATAAGGACCAGTTCCCAACCAAAGCTTTGGAAACCCATCTTCCTCCCTGCAGGCCTGGTGCCAGGGAGCACAAAGTCTGTGGGCATGAAAACCACACACACAAAAAATCATTCTCAGTGTGCAGATCGGCCAGGCAAGGTCTCCGTAACTCAGAAAATCGTCGCCTCTTCTCTTTCTTTATCTCACCTCCCAGGAGAGGGAGTGGGAAGGGGGAATCAAGTTCCTGATGCCTTGCTGGGCTCCCGGATCCACAGCACCTTCCACCTGCCTTGAGACAGACAGCAGCTATAGTGCCCCCAACACACACCTGAGCTAGCAGACCCAGCCACCACCCACAGTCAGCAGTCAGCCTTGCCTGCCACCAAGCAGGGACCAGTGACTCTCCTCTCAGGGCTGGGATTAAGTTGCAAAGGGTTTGAGAGATTGGGGATGACAAAAGGGACTTGAAGACTAATTAGGAGCAGCAATGAAAGCTTAATTCATAAAAGCAAACATTTTCCATCCACCAACCTGCAACCAGTTAAGGGCACCGTTTGAAAGAAATCTGTGCGTGGGGAAGGGAGCCAACAGGAACAGGAAATGTTTGAAAGAATGTAAACTATTTCAGTTTCATAAAAAGTAACAAGTAAACAGTTATTACATGCAAATAATGTCCTGGTTTTAATTAATGCTGAAAAGTCAAAATATGGTTGACATTTGGATGTACACATTGAAAGGCGGGAGAGGGAGAAAATGGTGCCCAGATGCCCGTTTCTGAGCGGGGCTGGCAGCTCAGAGGGAAGTAGAACCTTGAGAAAGTCCTGTTTATTGGTGATGAAAAGCACGGTTCTGCTTCAGCCGCTTCAGCATGGAGTTGGGGAGCAGAGGGAAACCAGCTTACTTCTTAACAAAGCTAGAGGTGGGCCTGGTGCTTGGGAAGGGCAACTCCCACTTCAGCCACTGCTCACAGGCAGGCTGGTCTTAAAGGGGCAGTGGACCCTCAGGCCTCCATTCCACGGGGGCAGGGTTTCTAGGACTTTCCCACTTAACTTTTCCAGGAGTTAAGTGATGATGGGTTTCAGGTCCCAGAAGCCTCCCATTCAACAGCCCCCACCCCTGTCCCACCTTCCTTCTACTGCCCAAGGTCGATCAGACAGACAGGATGGCACACCAGCCTTGACTCTCGAGTAGGAGATGGCAGCCTTTGAGCTGTGCTTTCCAACATTCAGCTGTGTTAGCTTCCATTCCTGACCACCTAGGGCTCAAAGGCGCTGGGAAACTGCATCTGGGAGACCACAGCTGGGGAGACAGTCTCCGAGTGTGGGTGAGATTCTGCCCCCTATGGAGAGAGTGGCTGTGGTGCTTGGGCCCTACAGACCAGGGACTCATCTTGCAACCCCGTTGCAGAAAGACCTTTAAGCTCCCTTTTTGAGCTTGTGAATACACAATCTCCTGCCAGCATCTTTTGTGAGATCAGGGGTGCTTAAAGAGGGGTGGCATGAAAGGGTTCAGGAGTTGGTAAACCCTAGAAACTGGAAGATCGTTGTCTTTTTCTGGCAAGAGACTATAACTTTCCTCACCTCCTCAAAGGGATCTGTAACATTCTACGGGATTACAGATCACTGTTTTAGACAAAGCTGTGCCTGGAGACCTGTTTTTCGGGATTCCAAGTCCCCACTTTCAACCTCCTTCCCCACTGCCCCTGCCCTTGCCAATGCTGAACTGGCGAGGCCTCCCTCCCGCTTACCTCGCCCACTGCGTCCCACGAAGCGAAGGTCGTTGAACCTGGCCACCTGGTTCTTCATGACGGCTGAGGCGTTGCGTAGCTCCGCAGAGTAGTTCTCATCATTGCCTGCCATCACGGTCACCACCGTGCCATCCGGCACATCCCCCATTGCCACCACCTGAGGACACAGGGCGGGGGATGCAGGGGGACAGCTTAGAAAGGAAGCAGGAGGCAAGGGAAAGGAGGGGAGGGGCTGGGCCAGGCAGCTCCCCTAGGTCCCAGGCGCACTGCGTATTTCTCCAATGCAGGGTGGAGAAGAGGCTTAAAAACAAAAAGGACCTTCCCCCAAATATCACAAAAAGAAGAAGAGAGAATCCCGAGCTTCCACACCAAAATCCCAGATCAACTGCTTAAACGGTGTCCCAAGAAATCATCCTTTCAACAAAGCCTAAGCCGGAGCTGTGAATCAGCTCAGTCGCCACGACGTGGGGAGCAGTTCCCCTGTTGACTTCGGCAGCAGCAAAAGAGGAATCAACATGCCCCTAGCAACGAAGTCTCCAAGTAAAAAACAATATCAACGATATGGCCGGGCACGGTGGCTCAAACCTGTAATCCCAGCACTTTGGGAGGCTGAGGTGGGCGGATCACGAGGTCAAGAGATGGAGACCATCCTGGCCAACATGGTGAAACCATGTCTCCACTAAAAATACAAAAATTAACTGGGTGTGGTGGCGTGTGTCTGTAGTCCCCGCTACTCCGGAGGCTGAGGCAGGAGAATTGCTTGAACCCGGGAGGCGGAGGTTGCAGTGAGCCGAGATTGTGCCACTGCACTCCAGTCTGGTGACAGAGTGACACTCTATCTCAAAAGAAAAAAAAAGCACATCAACAATAACAACAGGGCTGCCACCCCCACTCAGTTTACACAAGAGCCGTTCAGGGCATGAAATGTAGCCCCAAAATGTGGGCCAGGCCCAGTTTTTTGGCCTCTGCAGAGCCTAAATTCGTTATGCAGAGAAAATGCAGGATGCAAAACTCACTGGTGTTTTGAAAAGGGTCACCCAGAAAACCCCTTTAAAGTGAGATGGGGGTTTTTGATGACAGAAGAATGCACCTGCTTGAAAGTGCAGGATGGGGATGGCGATGTCTTCCTAAGCGCCATCCTCCCCCAGCCCCTCACCCCCAGGAGCACGGAGTGGCAGACTGCCTTTTGAAAAGAATCAGACTTTAAACACAGTGACAGCCATTTAAACGTGGATGCCGCGTGCTGGGACTCAAGATCCAGATGGTAAAAATTTCAAGGAGAAAAATGTTTGGGGTCTGATTAAAAAGGCCAGATTTCCTGTCAACATCCTGTCTTCTTTTAATTTCAAAGACTCCTTTTAAGCTCCAAGTGACAGTAAAACCTCCGAATCTGACGATTCAAATCACATGGGCCTCCCCACTTCCCGGGGAGATTTTCCCCACTGGTATTTTAAGATGTCACCTGGGAGACCTCAAAGGGCCACTCAACCATTTTTTTTTTTCCCAATTTGGAGTCGTCTTAATGGGAGCAGGGACAGCCTCAGCTGCCAGCGGCCGCCGCTTCCAGCCACCTCGGGCAGCACCACCCCCAGCCGCCGGCCTTTCCTGCCCTGCCCTTTTCTCACGGCAGCTGCGAGAGGTTTAGGGGAAAACCGAGGAGTTTTCGTTTCATCTCGTTGCCCCCTTTAAAAAATGAAAATGAAACAGTCGCCTACTCCCTGGCATAAGGAAAAAAGGTCCTCTGAATGACTGGGGGCTGCCGGGGGGGGGGGTCCCCCGATCTCAACCAGCCATTAGGGACGCAGAATACCCCCTAGCAAACGTCTGCCAGGCAGTGCCCCGATTCCGGCCTAGCACCGTCCCATAAAATTTCAGAAGCCCGAGGTGGAGGGTGTGAGCAGGAAGCGTTTGTGAAGCGGCGCGGGAGGAGGGGTGCTGCCGGCGGAGGATAGGCCCTTTCACCCTCCGAATCCCACCCGCCGTGTCCTAACCCGGGTCTGGGTATCCTCTCCTCCGTTGCCCGCAGAGCTGTGTCTGAGCAATCAGGGTTAGGGCGCGGGAAACCCCATCCGCCCGTTTCCGCACCAACGTCTCTACGCAGAGCTGCCCAAAGCCCAGGTGGAGCGGGGCAACCCCCTGAAAACCCCTCTGTGCAGGGCGCATCCGAGACGCGACACCAAGGTCCCCGAGCCCAGCGCGCAGCGAAGCCGACCCGGATGCCCGGGTGTCGCCGCGGGGTCTCGGCCACCTCTCCTTCCCGCGGCACCCAAGGCCCCTTACTGCGCAGCTGGGACGCCCGGAGCCTCAGGGCCCGCGCCCTCCCGCCCCGGCGCCCTCCCGTCCCCGGCCCTGCACTCACCTTGAAGGCGACGGGCAGCGTCTTGTTGCAGCGCCAGTGCGAGGGCAGCACGGAGCAGAGGAAGTTGGGGCTGTCCGTGCGCACGAGCTCGCCCGGGTGGTCCGCCAGCACGTCCACCATCGAGCGCACCTCGGGACGTGCGCGCCCGCCGGGCCCCACGGCCGCTTGCGCGCTCAGCGCGCCGCTGTTCTCGCCCATCTTGCCGCCGCCGCCGCCGCCGCAGGGGAAGGCCGTGGAGGGAGGTGTGAAGCGGCGGCTGGTGCTCGGGTCTACAGGAATACGCATAACAGCGGCCGTCAGGGCGCCGGGCGGGCGGCCGGCGCGGGCGCCTTCTCGGCCGCCGCTGCCGCGAGAAGCGGGAAAGCAGAAGCGGCTGGGCCCGGGGCCTCAGGGTGCAGGGGGCGGCTCCCGGCCAAGACCCGCCGGGACCCGCCCGCTGCAAGCCCTCGCCGCCCCGACGGCCGCCGGCAGCTCGCCCGCTAGTCCCGCATCCCCGGCGCACCGCCCCGCGTGCGGCCGCCCCTCGCGGCGGTCCCGGCTGTCTGGGCCGCGGCGGGGCCCGCCCGGGGCTGCGCCACCGCCGCCGCCGCCGCCTCCCACCCCGAAGCCCGCCCGCGGCAGCCGCGACTCCGCGGCCGCAGCCCCAGAACAAATCTTCCAGAATCAAGTGGTGGGGCCGTGGCCGCCCGCGCGGGGTTACTACCCCCGGGGCCCGCGAGGCGGGGCGGGGCCGGCCCGAGCGACGCGTCGCGCAGCCAATCGGCGGAGCCCCCATCGCGGGCACCTCGGCTGCGTTAGCTGGGAGGAACGGGGCCTGCCGGAGGCTGCCAGCGGGAGGGGCGGAAGGCCCGGCCCCGCCCCGCGGAGGAGGCTACCGAACCACAGCCCAGGGCCCCCGAGAGCGCTGGGAGCCCAGAGCCGACGCTAGAAATTTGCTTAGAACGTCCGGGTCCCACAGAAGTCGCCCTTGCAGCCCTTTCCCGGGTCGCGTCTCCCTAACGCGGGGGCGCAACCCCTTCGCTCCTCCTCCCCGCTGGCCGCGGCCGGGCTTCCCCAGCTCTTGCTGCTTCGGGCCCGTGACTTCTGCACCCCCGGCTTGGGGCCGCGGGGGCCCAGGGCCGGTGACAGCGCAACCGGGAGCCGCCCCAAAGAGGTTACGCACCTCCCTCGTCCCGCAAATTATTCAGACCCAAGCTCCTCCACCCCAAACGGGATTTTGCGCGCCATCCATGCCCGGCCAGCGGGTGCTGCAGCTCCCGGTCCTGCGCGGCTTTGGTCCCAGCCTCGGTGGCCCCTATGCCAAACCGGGGACAGACGGAAGGGAGTCTCCCAGGAACCCTAAGTATCCCGAGGTCAGCAACCACTTTCCCTTGTGCTCTCCCCTAAAAACAAGTTTCGGGATCTCGCAGGCCTCGCGGCGTCGTTCTTCGTTGTGGCGGCCTGTGGCTCTTTGAAAACCACGGCAAGGCCTGCAAAATGCGTTTTCCCGATTTTTTTCTCCACGCCTGTAACCACGGCCCTGCATGGTGAAACAGTACGTGGGTCGGTGGCAAAAGGAAAACTGAACCACTGCTGCAAAGTTAAGGGCCCCGGCTTCCAGAGGACAGAATTAATTGCCTTTCTCCATGCAGATGGAAAGTGGCCTCCGCGGGTCTGACTCCACTTCTTTTTGGGCCCCTGGGCTCCGGCTGCGCTGCAGGGACTGCGGACAGTTTCGCTGAGGCACTGCCTGCCCGCCTGGCTCTGGGTCCCCGCTCCCACTCCCAGCGGCGCGGCCCAAACGCTCCTGGGCTTCACTGTGAACAACCCCTGCCTCTCCCGCCTCCTAAGTCAGTGGAGCAGGCCTAGGGGCCGGCTACAGCTGGGAGGGCAACGGGAAAGGTCAAGCCCCAATCCTTCCGAATTATCGCCCCAGACACCGCCTAGACTCTGGGGAACGAACGCATGCTTTGGAGACTGAGCTAGATTTTCGTTGCCTCTAGCCCTCGACAGGTGCAAAACAATGAATTCCAAGCCTCGGAAGCAAGGAAGCCTAGGATCCGACGGTGGCCGCAGGATCTCATGATGGATCTGACCCCTGCCCATCGCGCACCATTTCGTCGTCGCCAAACGAAATCAACTCTCGCGTGCGCTCCAGGGGCGAAAGACTCTGGCCTCACCTGGAACATCGGGAGAGCTGGCCCCTAGCCCCATCGGGACCTCACATCACATCTTCAGGACGCGTCGAAAGCAAGGACGGCAAAGGTCCCTGCCTGGACCTTTTCAGAGAACCTGCGCCTGGCAGCTGACGATCGTGGACCAAGGCTCGCATGCCTGGCACGAGCAGCAGAACCAGAGGAAGCAAGCGATCCGGCCTGGGCGCTCCCACCTCCGGGAACGTCTCTGGGGAAGGCCCAGCGCTTCGTGGCCAGGTAGGGCCCGGGGCGGGCGACACGTGCTGCCCTCGAGCGGTTGCGGAGCCGCGACCCGCTGTTTCAGGTCGTGGCAAAGTTCACGTGTTGAGTGTTTTCGGTTTGCCTCCTGCCCTTTGCTTGTCCCTCCGCCTGATTTCTCCCTCTCCCTCTAAGCTGGGTTGACAGACGAGTTTTCAGAGAATGGGGGGCTTTTGTGGGTCCGGACACCTGGCGCAGGACCCGGCACGGGCTCCAGTCCTCGGGAAGGCGCTCGCTGCCCATGGTCACCAGACCCAGGGGACCGGGGGTGCAGGCCCTTGGGTCCCCAGCCCGAGGTCGCCGGGCCGCCTGGCAGGCACAGTGGTGGGAGTCGCCGCTAGTTGGCGCCCGCGTCCTACCAGCCGCGGGGGTGCTGGCTCCGCCGGGCTGCAGATGCGTGCCTGCTGGGCCCGGGTGCAGGCGCGGCAGCCTCCTCCGAGGAGCTGTCCTTCCCGGACTGAAGGCCAGTCCGATTCCTTGCCATCGGTGCTGCCATGTTTCGGACAAACCGATGGCTTTGTGTCAAACTGAGGCTGCCTTGCTCACCTCTGATGAGGTGACGCCTTCTGCCTTTGCGTTTTCAGGTGTGGGGGAAGACCCACAGAACTGGCTAGCTTGTTCCCAATTTCCACTGATCGCCAACCTGCTTCCTCCCTATCCCAGACCTACAACCTTTGTCATCTGTTCGATGGGAGGGAGAGCTCCCACTCCCCCATCTGGGGCACGCTGACACCTTTGCCCTTCCCCAACTGGCGTGGACTCTCATCTTTTCTCCCTCTTCCGTCAGATTGAGGGACAAACAGCCCAGTTTCTCTCCAGTGGCCCCTACCTAAGAGCACCCCATGTTGTCCACAGCAGGACAAGAAAGCCTAAGGTCAGGACACTTCCCTCCCCTACCGTAGCTTAGAGCTGGGTAAACCTAGAACCCATCCTGGAGCAAATATAGCCAGCTCCGTTGCCTTAGGAAGGGGATTCGTCTACCTCAGGCATTTAGGAGTGCACTCCAAGTGTGGTCTTGGCAGTGAGGGTGCGGGCTTCCCAGGGCAGGCATAATTCACAGTGCCTCTGCTGCACCTGGGCAGGGATCCCCCAAGTGTACCAGAGGAGGGGCAGGTATGCTCTGGGAAGCCACCTAAGAGCCCCATGGACAGTGGAAAGAGCTTGGGTCTGCAGTCCCTCTGCCTGAGTGTGTCTTCTTCTCTCATCCACAGCCCTCTAAGGAGAGTTGCCTAAATCTCTCTGAGCCTCATTTCTTTCATCTGTAAAATGGGGGCACTCATAGTGGCCCTTCACAGAGTTGTGTGTAAAGTGCTTAGCACAGTCCTGGCACACAGAGGGTGCCCCAGCCACAGGGAGCCATCACTGTCATTATGAAAAAATAAGACCTCTCCATTCTTGCTGGGGCCCTTTGAACCCCCCCTCCCCGCCACCGCCCCGATCTGGGCCTCACACTTCCCATCTGTGATATGTCCAGTTCTCAGGTTCAAAGCTTGCCAGAACTCTGCGCCAAGTCCATGCTGTCCTGACCCCTCAGTTCGCCCACATGCTGCCTGGGGGAGGTAAGGACTGGCTGTGACCTAGCTCCACGAGGAGTCAGCTCATGGGGTGGGGGTTCCAGCAACCATCACGGGGGCGGCAGGAGCTGGGTCTTGATGATTGCCCTTCTGACCATTCCTCTCAGAACCTCACTTTGGCCCCTCCCATAGGCAGACACTTTCCTAAGAAGCAACTGGGCCTCAGCAGACACTGCCAGGGACCCCACTTCCTTCCCAGGAGGCCTCTGTTTCCCATATCCCGAATCACACAGAAGCCTAGTCCAGCAAAGAGGGCAGAGGACTCTTCTAGAACTGAACATTTCTCCCAGCCTGGCCCTAAATCCCCCATCCAGAGGACCCAGGGTGAAACCTATCTCCAGCCTAGTGCCCTAGAACCCAAAGGGGACATTCGTGCCCCTCACTGAGCCTCAGTTTCCTCTTCTGTCAATGGAGGTCATTCTAACCACTCCATTTCACAGGAGGGGGATTAAGGATTCTCTCTAGGAGGGGAGGGGCATCGTGTTTCATTATATTTAAATTGTGATCGATTGTTTGAAGAAATAGAAAATGCTGCTGAGTAAACTAGGACTCATCTTCATCCCAATTTCAGATCATGGTATCTGAATATATAAGGGAGAAAAGTTAATGAAAAATGGCAGTTTATTTGGGTGGAGGGGGTATCTCCTAAAGGCTGGAGGTCCACCCCCAGGGAGTCCAGATCTAGGGTCATCTTTCTGGGCAGCCTCTCTGGAAGGATTCGGAATGTGTGGGAGAACAAGTGTGCTTCTTGAATTACAGAGATCTTTCTTTCTTTTTGGAAAATGTCAGACTTGGAGGGGAAGCAGAAGGAGCAGGGGAGACAGGGTGACAAGGGCGTTAGGACCCAGATACTGCCTGTGAGGTCCGAGACTTTTGCCATGTGTCTACACTCCCCTGAGCCTTGGTCCCCCGCTTCGAAGATAAAATGGGAAGAATGGTAACCGCTGGGGGTGCTGAGGCTTTACATTGTGCCAGCCACTGCACGTGGGTATTAAGCATGGTATTCAATGCCCATGGCATTGTATGTGGTAGGTGGTATGCCCATGCAAGTAAGCAAAGAGGAACATTGCTCGAGGTCAGCCAGGCTAGAGAGGGCTGGACCCAGGTTAAAAGCCTGCTCTGGCTCAAAACATGGGGTATGCAGGCATCACCAGGCCGAGCTAATCAGAGCTCTCCTCCTAGTGGCTGAGTGATGGGAAAAGCTGGCATCTAGATAGACAGGAAAGTGCTACCATGATGGGGAGAGGGAGCTGGGGTGGTAAA